CCCAGCCCATGCCCGCCCCTACCCTCCCAACAGCCCCCAGAGCCCCCAGCCCCGCCACGCACCTCCCTGCGCCCGGCGGGCGGGCGGCCGAGGGCCCCGAGCAGGCAGAGCGCGCCCAGCACCAGCCCGCGAGCCCCCGGCATCGCCGCTACAATGTTGCAAGCCCGGCCCACGTGACCGCTCAGCTGATTTCCTCCCTCCTTCGCGCCTTAAAGGCGCAGGGCTGCCGGCTCTTAAAGGAGCCGCTGCGCCACCGCCGGGGGGGAAACAAGTTCATGGTCCCCGCACTTGCCTGGAGCTTAGGCCCTGTGATGCCCTTGGCTGCCTGGATCCAGCCGCACGCATGTCACTGCTCCCCTGAAATGCAGCCACCTCTGGGGGGGATCATGGCAATGGTGCCATTGCAGGGGTCTCCCTGCTTTGGTCCATGAATTCAGAGAAAGGGCATGAGGGGCTCTGCCAGCCGGTGCTGCTCTCCGGGCTACTGGACAGGCTTTGGGCAAGGCGTGGCAGGCAGAGGAAGGCCTTGGCTCGATGCGGGTCATCACCCTGCCCCAATGCCCTCGAAGGTGCCTGTAATGCCCCCGGAAAGGGAATCCTCCATCCTGGGACAATGAGGCTGAAGCTGGTTCCTTATTCCCGGTGTCATATTTCTTAATCCTGGTTCCTTTTTCAAAGCTAATCTATACCCAATAAAAGCTTTACGTATGAATTAGGAAATATGCATTGCTAATGAATTCATCTCTCTTTACAATGTGTAAGCTGTGTGTGTGTATATATATATATATATAAAACGAAGTACATTGGTTTATAACTCGAGAATGCCTGCTCCTATCTACACTAAACCTTGAAAAATTGCTGAATACGACCCGAGGAAAATTATAAGCAGGTTATTTTTTCACTCCTTTTTGGGGCTTCCAGTGACTGTTTAAAGGACACCTGGGTTCTGTGCCCAGTGCTGGGAGGAGGTTGGGGGTCAGACTTAAGCTGTATATTGGCCCCCTCTACTTCTATACGACTGGCTAGTGAAACACTAAGGGGCATGCTCTGTTTTCCCTGTAATGGGGTTCTCTTAAGCTCACTGGAAGGGAACGGATCAGGTATACTGATATTCTTCCTCAGGTGGCCCTCCCCACTCCCTACCGCTGTGTGCAGCATCTGGGACTCTGCTGGAAGTGGTGGGAAGTGCCATGCAATTGAGCTAGGGCAGCTCCACCCGCTCCCTGCTTCCTGGTTCCCTGGCAGGGAGCATACCAGGCTGTTTAGCCAGGGTGGACACAGGGAGAAGAAGAGAGGATGACCAGACCGAGCACCTCTAGCCTAGCTGAGCTGCTTTTGACCTGGACCCAGAGCAAAGACGCAGCCCAGTGTACTCACAGCACGGAGGAAGCTGCTATCAGGACCCCACAACTGGACCGCTGCCCGTGCTGCTGGCTCTCATAGTTTCATAGTTGCTAGGGTCAGAAGGGACCTGAGCAGATCATCAAGTCTGACCCCCTGCCATGGCAGGAAAGAGTACTGGGGATCCCAGCAAGGTGTTCATCCAGCCTCTTTTTAAAGACCCCCAGGGTAGGAGCCAGCACCACTTCTCTTGGAAGATGGTTCCAGATCCTAGCCGCCCTGATGGTGAAGTCGCGCCTCCTGATGTCTAGTCTGAATGTCCCCTCTGCCAGCTTGTGACCGTTATTTCTAGTCACTCCTGGCAGTGCTTGGGGGAACGGGGACTCCCCCAGTGCCTGCTGATCCCCTCTGACTAGTCTGTAACAGGCCACTAAGTCCCTCCTCAGCCTTCTCTTGTGGAGGCTGAACAGGTTCAGGTCCCGTAGCCTCTCCTCGCAGGGCCTGCCCTGCTGCCCCCAGATCATGCAAGTGCCCTCCTCTGGACCCTCTCCATGCTGTCCACATCCCTCCTGAAGTGTGGCGCCCAGAACTGGACGTAGTACTCCAGCTGCGGCCTGACCAGTGCCGCATAGAGGGGGAGGATCACCTCCCTGGACCTGCTCGAGATGCATCTGTGGATGCA